TATAGTATAGTATAGTATAGTATAGTATAGTATAGTATAGTATAGTATAGTATAGTATAGTATAGTATAGTATAGTATAGTATAGTATAGTATAGTATAGTATAGTATAGTATAGTATAGTATAGTATAGTATAGTATAGTATAGTATAGTATAGTATAGTATAGTATAGTATAGTATAGTATAGTATAGTATAGTATAGTATAGTATAGTATAGTATAGTATAGTATAGTATAGTATAGTATAGTATAGTATAGTATAGTATAGTATAGTATAGTATAGTATAGTATAGTATAGTATAGTATAGTATAGTATAGTATAGTATAGTATAGTATAGTATAGTATAGTATAGTATAGTATAGTATAGTATAGTATAGTATAGTATAGTATAGTATAGTATAGTATAGTATAGTATAGTATAGTATAGTATAGTATAGTATAGTATAGTATAGTATAGTATAGTATAGTATAGTATAGTATAGTATAGTATAGTATAGTATAGTATAGTATAGTATAGTATAGTATAGTATAGTATAGTATAGTATAGTATAGTATAGTATAATTAGTTTCTTAGCTTGGGGAAAACTGGTATAGTTCAATGCTTGTGGGGAAGTATTTGTCCTTCAAAGAAGAGAATGACTAAAGCACCCACGCTGCTTCATGCTGTAAGCACATGCCTGCTGAATGGTAGCAAGAACATACTTACATCCCGTATGGCTTCGTATAGGGCTTTGAAAGTCGGCTGCTTATCATCATGGTAGACGCCTCGGTTCCCATGCAGAACAGACACCCCTTCGAGCTCCGCCCTTTTGCAGTTGCTGCCATACATGCAGTGGTCAGGACGGTAGTTCCAATGGCAGGGGAACACATAGAGATGCTCTGGTGGGGACAAGAGGAAGACATGTCCACAGTCAGTGCTGGCTCTTCTGCAAACCTGGCGATTAAAACCAACATTTCCATAAACTGCACATAGCAGATGATTTAAATTCACATTTGTGACTATGACTCATGGACCAAACTTCAACACATTTGTTAATATCCTGAGGTCAGAAGTTAAGAGAGTACCCGCTAGTGATGGTATAGGTCCCTCCCCCTGAAGGGAGATCAGGGGATAAGAAGGCACACAAGCCCTTGCTCAGACAATTGGTCTGAATCCCAACTCTCATTCAAACACAGTGAAACCTAGGTCCAGTGACTTAATATTCCTGTGCTTCCATTTTTTTCACCTGTAAAGTGAGACTAACAGGACCTCTTTCTTATTTTGATAATTAAATGTAAAAATTTCATATAAAATGCTTAGCAGAGTGCTAAGCACACAGTGGTAGTTAATAGAGTTACCAGATATAATTAACTACTCAGAAAGATTTTTTGAAATGGACAGACCCCCAAAATGGGAGTTAAGATTAAAGCGAAGATTTCTCTTAGGTTTAAAAACCAACCAACAGCCCTGGCTGCATGGCTCGGTGGTTGAGCATTGACCTATGAACCAGGAGGTCATGGTTCCATTCCCGGTCAGGGAACATGCCCAGTTTTTGGGCTTGATCAATGGTTCTCTCTCATCATTGATGTTTCTATCTCTCTTTCCCTCTTCCTTCCTCTCTGAAATCAATAAAAATATATTTTAAAAATAAAAACCAACAAACAACAGCAAAGGAGAAAAAATCCAAAGAAGCAAAGCCAAAAGAAAGCTCCTACGTCATGGTGACAATACACACTGTGGGTGAGCATGCACACACATGTACACCTGTGTGTTTATCTCTCTAACCCAGTGGTTCTTAGCCAAGGGCGAAATTACCCCGCCCCTGAAGCCAGTTGGCAATGTTTGGAGGGAGACATTAGTTGTCATATACAAGAGAAGCTGCAACTTCCATCTGGTGACTTAGAGAACAAGAGTACCCCAGACATCATCCAGTGAATGGACAGGCACCGCAGCCTCAGTAACACCAAATCAAGAAACTCTTCTGTAATCTGTTGAACTCAGAAAATTTCCTCTTGGTGAATAGGATAATACAATTAGCAATAAATTCATAACTCCTCAGCTTCCTGGCCCTCAGCTTGATGACTTTAAAGACAGGGGCTAAAGGAATATGGACCAGAGTTCTCTGTGAGTGTGGGTTATTGACCAGGAGAAAGGCCTGTGTGAGAGCACAGAAGAATTAGAGTGGATACACTGTCAGAAAAGCAACTTAAAGATGTGCTAGTGCGTCGTATTGATAGCACTCACTCTCATGGGAAGAACCACTGCTTAGAGAATCCTTACAGAAAGCTTTACCATGAAAGTGAAGAATGAAGAGGCTCTCATACATCCCTCTGGCGGACTGTACTAGCATTGATGTCAGTGTAAAACTGGGTGAGGGCATTTAGCTATTTAGGTAAATTTAGGATGTTCTGGGCGTCCCTCCTGGGTGAGGGGCCTGCTCGTTTGTTGCAGATTTGATGAGATTTGGGACGACCGGCCCCTCGGTGCCTATGGCAGATGAAGGGGTTAGCCCGGCATAGGATGTAATTTTTTCAAGACCGTTTTATATCTTCAGAGTACTTTATTAAAGTGTAGGTTTATTTCTTAAAATGTGGGTCACAGGAATTTTAAAGTTTTATATAATGCTTCAAAGTCTTTAGAATACTATACAGAAATGTGTTTGTTTTTTAATTGGCTTATCTGTATATCTGAACTCTTAAAGCTTTCTTAGAGCTAAAACACTAGGATTTTTTACCTGCAGGGTCGCAGAGAGATCACCCTGTTTTAAATAGACTGAAAAATAATAATAATAAAAAGCCAGCCAGCGATGTCACACTTGATATTCCAATCTCCTTTTTCCCACTTCTTTCTCTTTCCTCTTGCTACCCACACTGCTTTTATTTTCCGAACTCTGGTTTTCTGGATTTAGTAAAAATTCAATTCTGAACATTGAATTTTTAGGAAGTTTTTATTAGATAAAAAGCTATATACTTTTTTTTAAAAGAAAATTTGTTTATCCAGGAAAATATATTAAATCATGCTACTGAGCCTCCATTTTCGCTGATGTTTTGGTTCAGTCTTCTTTCATCATGACATAAACCTTAATAAAATAAACTAACATTTAAAAATTTAGCCAATGTATATTTAAAACCAATAAACAGTTTTGTTAATAACGATTTATGTGATGTGTCCCTATTGCAGATGTAAGTATCGGAGCCGTGTTTTTTTGTAATCGACTGTTTACTGGGTCAGGTCCCTGCCAGCACATGTAAACTGTGTGAGCCTTTACACCCTCCAGGCAGCCCACAGGCAGGCGGGGAGGGACCGTGGGAAGGAGACTCCACTACCTTGACCTTGTTTTTGTTGTATTTTGCAAGATAATCGTTTAGTAAACATTGTCCTCCGTTTAAAAGAAGATGCTGTTATTGCATCGCCTCGAAAACTGGGACCAACCAAAGTGTCAACCCGTTTACCTCCAAAGAGGCTATTCCTCCCAAACGCTTGTCAGGCCCGGAGGCCACATCCGTGACGGACACGGAGACACGGAGCCAGGCTTTGCGACTCC